AGAGTCTGCGCTGGGACCTGGCAACCGTGCTGCACAGCCTCCATCTCCACTCCCCACCCCCGGGCACCGTGAGACGCTCGGTCCGAGTCCGAGGGACATAATTGGATTCGGATGGGTTGGATCAAATTAGATTCGACCTGGCGGGCAGCCTGGCTGGCCGGCACCAGGCCCCTGAAGACCAGGCTTCTGGGAAGGAGTCTGAAATCACATCTCACTTCCCCTGCCGCCCTCGGCCCTTCCCTTCCTCCCCCACATCGGGACAGGGAGGCAGGCCCCGGGATGGCTGCACCTGTCCCAGGCAGCCCCGTGACCATCTGCTTGGGGACAGGGGCCCCAGGAAGCGCTCAGGCTGAGCGGACTCCAGGCCCGGTGAGCCTGGCGACTGGCGGGGGCCCCAGCAGCTCGCCCCGCGGCGCCTGCTCCCCGGCCTGGGCCGTGGCTGCTCACGGGGAGCCAGGCCTCCACCCGGACCCTCCTTCCCGTTTCCACCTCCCTTCACTGGGGAGCTGGGGAGTGTTCCCTCCTGGGCGGGTCCTGTGTCGGGCAGGGAGGCCACCGAGAGGGCTCAGAGCACGGCCTGCCCTCGGGGCTGACCAGAGGGCCCCGCAAGAGCAGAGGGGAACAGCACAGCCACACACCAGCGCTTGGGGCGAGGGGAGCACAGGCGCCCATGGGCCCCTGAGCGGCCGGGGGGCCACGGAGCTCCCTGGCTCACACTCGCCATGGCTCCTGATTGTGACGGAGAAGTCTGGACTCCCAGCAAGGAAGGCCCCCGGCGGGCGAGTCCGCAGCGGGGGAGAGAGCGGAGGAGGCGGGTGCTGAGCGCCCGTGCAGGGCAGTCAGCTGCACGGAGGCAGCCGTCAGCCCCTCCAGCACCACCGCCGGTCACTGCCCCTGTAGCACCCCGGCTGCAGCAGGTGCCGCCAGCGGACATGCCCTCAACCCCGTGCAGGCGGGAGGGGTCGCGTGCCTGGAGAACCAGGGGACTCGGCTTCAGGCCCAGCTGTGCCCCCAGGGGCTCAAGCGCTGGGGCGAGAATCAGCCCCCAGCCCCCACCCTGTCCTCTGCCAGGGCTCTTCTCTCTGAGGCCTCGCCCCTCGCTCTGGAAAATATCCTTCTTAATAAGAAAGAGATGAATGTGAACATAATAAATTTCTTATTTCTATTTTTGAGTAAATTAATATAAGCTTCCCAGTTTAATTTCTAGTATGGTAATTATGAATAGCTACAGATAAATACAAATTCTTTGGGCTCCTCCATAATTGCCAGAAATGTAAAAAGGAGCTGAATCCTGTGGGCTCGGGACCCAGCCCCACCCCTGCCCTCAGCTGGAGACAAGGAGGGGGCCCGAGGGCCCTGGGGCCTGTGCCGGCCTCGTGGGAGGGGGCAGGTCACCGGCCCTTGGCCCCAGTCCTCAGTGAGGGGGCCTTCTCCCGCAGTGAGGACCGTGCCTTTGAGGCTGGCTGTGGGGGCCGCCTGCCCCCTCCGCTCCGGGGTTTCACTGCCCAGTGCCCATCAACTTTGACCTAGAAAGCTAGGTCACTCCCCCAAGCTGTCCTTTGCTGGCAAAACAGCGACATCGTATGGTCTCACTAGTAGTCTAGATTCTCAGAAAGGAAGCCCGGCCCTGCCCGGTGCGGCTCAGCGGGGTGGGCGTCGTCCTGCAAATCGAAAGGTCGCCGGTTGGACGCCTCTGGTCAGGGCGCAGGCCTGGCGTGTGGGTCAGGTCCCCTCCCCGGTCAGGGCCCATGTGCGAGGCAACCAATGGGTGTTTGTTTATTTTTCCTCCCTCCCTTCCCTCACTCTAAAAATAAATAAACAAATAGATTTTTTAAAACCTTTTAAAAATAAGAAAGAAAGAAAGGTCACCTAGGGGCAAGCCCATGGTGTGGGGGAGAGTTGGTGACGTCCGACACTGAGTGCTCTGCCTACATCCCAAGTTCAGGGCCACGTCAGCTCCCCAGCGACAAGGTTACGGTCGGTATTGATTACCAGGGCTCGCTGCAGGTTCTGATTCTGTGGCTGGGAATGGAAGTTCAGCCCCCCCCCCCCCCACCACACAGAAGCTGGAGCTTCAGCGCGGGCCCGCGGCGCTCGCAGCTCAGGGAGGAAGCGCGGGTCTGCCCGATGGGCATCGACTTCCCGTGCAGCCGTGGGGCGGCCTGAGAGACTGCCGTGGCATGGCGGCCTGCGGGGCGTAACCCAAAGGTCAGGAAGCTCTGCAGAACCAGCGGCGTTTGAGACGGGCCCAGGATTTTGTTTTGGGGGGACAGGAGAAGCAGAGGGGTGTGCTTTGGGGGTGGTCGGCCAGCGGTGCAGGACCACGGACCATGGGGACTATGTAAGCGGAGGTGGGCGACGAAGCCGGGAAGAAGCTAGGACGCCCACTCCTTTCACATCCGTGGGCGCCAAGGAGCCACAAAATCCGCACGAGCCCGGGGTGAGGGGAGCCCTGCACTCAGCCTGCCGCCGACAGTGGCCGGGGGTGACGGGCAGGGAGGCTGCTCCTCGGCCGCCACACACGGGTAGACCCTCGCCAGGCCAGTGTCTCCGACCACCGGCGGAGGCGCTGCACACGTCTCCAGGGCCCCGGGAAGCCCTGCCGGGGGAGGCCCGGCCCCCAGACTCAGTGCGCCTCCAGTCACCGGGGACCTGCCATCTCCGCTCCCTGCGGCCGGGAGGTGGGCGTCGTCACTCCCGTGCCACAGACGAGGCTGCGAGAAGCGAGGCGGCCTTCCCCAAGACACGCGAGTGGTCAGGAGGCCGGGCTCTGCCCGCCCCTGCCTGACCTCCCCAGACCTTTCTCCTGCGAAAGCCGTGCGCCAGCCTGGCTCATACCAGCTCGCGAGCGCCGCTTCCATCCGTGATGTCTCCCTGGAGCTTGGAGGGCGCATTGCCACCACAGAAACTGGCCTGTGCTGCCCATCGGCCCCACCCCGCCCCCAGCAGTGGCTAACGACCATCAGTCGGTGCACCACGGTGCCGGGCGTGCAGGCCTGCTGTTCCGAAATGCGGCGAGCTGCCCGTGAGCGTGCAGCTTTCTGCCAGGAGCCTGGCACCCGAGTGCCCGGCCGATTCGGCTGCGGCTCAGCCGGTCACACTCGGCGTCGGCCCGCCAGTTCGATTTGAACGCGGGAGAGAACCCAGGGGAAGGACGGGTAAGAGCAGTAAAAGCAGGTGAAACCAGAGGTCGGCGTGCTGAGCACAACGCAGGCTCACTGATTCCGATTTTCTGTTTGGTTTAACTTAAGAATTTTTAAAGTGTCAATTGTAGCTGCCGGGATGTTTGTGTTCTCAGACACGTCGATTCTCAGTCCCTGACCGTGCGTGAAGTGGGCGGGGTTGAGACTGAGCTTGTCCTCACCTTGAGCCGGGGACCGGTGCGCCACCTGGGAGAGGAGGCCACCCGCCTGTCCCCGTCTCCGGGTTCCTTCCGCCGCCGAGGCCAGCCCCTCGCGGTGGGACCTGGGAGCCGGGCTCAGGGCAGTGTGCGGGCGGGCAGCAGCTCTTCCTTTTATCCGCCGTTAGCCTCTTGACGGACGTGTGACCTGCACCCCCTCACTTGACCCCAGACCTAATAAATTCTGGAAATGCCTCACAACTCACCAGGAAGATAAACATCAACTGGGGTCCACCGAGAGGGGTCCAGGCCGCTCCAGGCAGCCAGGGAGGGAGATCCGGTCTCCTGAGGGGAGGGGCCAACTGAGGGAGAGGACCCTGTCCTCTCTGTCACACCAGTGCCCTCAGAGCCGACTGGGTGGAGGGCAGAGGCCAGGCGTCCAGGGGCCCTGCCCTCAAAACCCATGGGCAGCCCGGCTCCACACTCAGCGGGGCCTCCAGCGCGGGAGGTGTTGTCCGGACCCCAAGGGCCTTCAGGGCAGGCGTCTGGATCTTGGCTCCCGTCTTGGAAAGGGCCACTGGCCTTTACAGGGGACGAGGGGCCCGGAGCGTGCGTAGGATGGAGTCCCTGCCTGGGGCGTGGAGCCGGGGGGAGGCTCTGAGAGCCTGGGAGGGGAGGAGGCGGGGAGCTGGCTGGTCTTATGTGGGTCGGGGCTCCCGGGTCTGGCCGGAGGACACACAGGAAGGGCCTGCCAGGCGGGGCCACCACTGGCCAGGCTGCAGATACAGAGGCTGCTGCCGGGGGAGGGTGGGGGCGCCGTGGCAGGCGGGGGGCCGGCCCTGGCCCCTCTGGCACTCCTCCCCGCTGAAGGCTCCCAGGCAGCAGGGAGGCCAGCACTGGCTGCCCTTTTAAGACCAGACGACGGAGAGAAGGGTACCCAAGTTTCGCCCACATTCTTGCTCTAAAAAGTAGCATCTGACCACCAGCAGGAACCTTGGGCAAGAGTAGGAACATGGTGACGTGTGTGCCCCTGAACCTGGGATGAGCTCCATGGGGCGGGGGTGCCCCTGCGTGTGCGTGGAGCCGGAGGCCCGAGCCAGGCCGTGCAGGGCTTGGCACGTGGAGGTGAGGGCAGCTCTACGATGCCGGGTACACGTGGGGACCCCTCTGCACCTGGTGGGGGTGGGGGTGGCGCGTGGTCCAGTGCCCGGCCGTGGGGCTGGCGAGGACAAGGCTCTGAGGTCCGGGCGTGGACTCGGGCAGAAACCCACTGATGGGGCTCAGGGGCCTGGCGGCACCTGGGTGAGACCACCGGAGGCTCGGGGCATAGCCCGCCTCACAGAGGCGTCCCCTGCACACATGCCTCGCACCACCGGCGTTTTGGCGCCGCCCCCGCACCCCCCACCGCCGTCTCCCTGGGGGCCCCTCCCAGCCACCCGCTGTGCAGCTCTGCGAGTGAGGCCTGGGGGCAGCGGGCGGGCGTGCCCTCGGCGTGTGCAGCGCGTGTGCGGCGCAGGTGCAGTGTGTGTGCCATGCGTGTGCTCGCAACTACCCCGGAACTCTCCGTCTAATTGTGGTGTTCCGTGGGCGCTCTCGGCCTGAAACGTCCTCCCCCTCTCTCCGCCCGTCCCCCATCCCTCTCCTGTCTGTCTCTCCCCAGAGGGTATGAACTGCATGAACAAAGACCACGGCTGTGCCCACATCTGCCGGGAGACGCCCAAAGGTGGGGTGGCCTGCGACTGCAGGCCCGGCTTTGACCTTGCCCAAAACCAGAAGGACTGCACACGTAGGTAGATGGAGGCAAATGGGTCAGACACCCCCACGCGTCTCCTGCCGTTGCTCTGTGGGGGGTCCGTCCAGTCTCTGCGGGACGCGGCCCCGGGCGGGCTCTCGGCCCTGGGGGTGGAGAAAAAGGCAGGGCCCCTGGCGGGTCTGGGGAGGCAGGAGGGACGGGCCGGGAACCCCAGGCCTGAGGGTTTCCCTCCCGGCACGTCCCCGCCCACACGGCCCTGGAGCTGGCCGAGTTTTACCTGGGGCCCCATACCATGGCCCTGCCAGCGCCTCCTGTGCCCTCTCCTCTGCCCGTGCCCTGGAGGCCCACCGCTCCGAGCTCTCACTCTCTGGGGGAATGAGGGACTGTGGCACAGGGGTGTACGAGCTCTGGCTCCCGGAAGCCGCCCCAGCCAGCCCTTAGCAGCAGCACGGTACAAAGGGGGAAAGGAGCTTGGTCTGGGGGCTCCCGGCCCAGGACGTAAACCCAGAACTCGCCTTGTACCCCAGGAGGTCGAGGTTGAATGAGGCCTCTGGTGAAAGGGGCCACTTCAGGGCTCGGTGTAACGCGGCCTTTCAGTGGGGTCAGTCGCCCAGTTTCCCAGCGGGAACAGCAGCCAGCAAGCGAAGCTGGCCCACCATCCCTGGTCTTTGGGATTCTGTCAGGGCGCCGCCCTCCGTGGGTGCCCACCACACCTTCCCCAGCTCGTGCTTTCCTCCAGCGGTCCCCAAGGGCTTGGGGGGACCCACCAGCACCAGACACAGTCCCATCTCTGAGGAGTTCATGCTCCAGTCCCCACTCGTGATTTGTCCGTTCCTCAAAGTGAACGCACTTCCTCCCGCCACGGCCCGGGCCCAGACTCGGGCCAGCCTTCTTCCTCTTCCTCCCGGTCCCCCTGGGGGCTCGCAGCGGGGACCACGCGTGCGGCCACCCGGGCAGGGCCGCTCAGGGAAGTGCCGGCCCCCGCCCTGGGACTCCCGCCCGGCCCTCCTCTGCTCCACACAGAGGCACAGACGCCCCCACCGCCGGGCTCCCGCGGGGTGGGAGGCGAACAGCCCCACCTTCCCCAGCCCTCCCTGTGGGTAACCTGAGCGTCCCCGGGAACTGGCCAAGGACAGGCACCTGCGCCGCAGCCAGGCTCGCGGACAGGCTCGGCCACACGGAAACACTGCTGCCTGAGCAGGCCGGGCTGACACGCCCCGGCCGAGCCCTGGCCAAGCCCTGGCAGGACGCTGGGCAGGGAGCTGCGAGCACCAGGGGACAGTCTGCTCAGGGGACAGTCTGCTCAGGGTCTCCTGAGCAGTGGACCTGGTCTGAGCGGTCGGGGACCAGGCAGGGCCCTGTACATGGCTAAGGCCCCCTGCCCGGCCCCAACAGAGCAGAGCCCAGCCCTAGCCCAGAAGGTTCACCCCCTGCGCCTTGGCTGGCCGTCGCCAGGCCGTGTGGAGTCTGACGGCAGCCCGGGGCCACAGGGTGGGTGAGCACCCTGCTGCCCTCCCGTGAAGGGCCAGCCCTGGGCCCTTCCGCGTGGTGCGTGTGGCAGGGTTAGTGTCCAGTTAGCGATGAGATTTTCTCTCTAGCCCTTGAGGTCACCTGAGGTCCAGGAAATTCTAGATCTGGAGGTGGGCTGGGGCAGAGGCCTGACCTCGCCAGCTCTAGGGACCAGCAGGACCACACAGGCTCTGCACCCAACTGTCCTCCCTCCAGAGCCTGGGACCCCCAGGGCCCCAGGCTCTGGCGTCTATTTCCATACACGAGCTGTAGTCTCTCCAGGTGCTCACCAGCACGGCCCTCGGGGTCCGTGAGGTGCACACACACCTGAGTGGGGGAGGGAGGGACCCTCAGTGTGGCCCTCCCTCCAGTGGCCTCTGACAGACCCTTTCCTCTGGCTCCGCCCCGCCCCCTGACGTGGGCCTTTTTCAGGCCGCAAAGGCACAAGATGTCCCGCCCGGCATGGGGCTCTGCTGGGGTCTGCCCTCGCCTGGGATCTGTGCTAGGCGGCCGCCCGTGGAACCCCAGGTTTCTCTGGGCCGCCTCCTGGGCAGAGGCCTCCAGCTAGCAGGGGTGGCCGGGGAGCCCTTCCCCGGGAGACCCTGGACCCCATTAGCAAGATGCCTCGCCCTGGCATGCAGTAACTGCCTGCTTTGCATAAACCTGAGTGTACTGTTTTTCCCACTCTGGGCTGGCTCCCTTTTGTGCAGCCCCTGTCGGCCGACCCAGGGGGCGGACACTACGGGCCAGGTTAGACCCTGGGCTGGAGGGCACTGCAGCTGTGCGACGTGCTTCGAGAACAGATCGTTTCCAAAACCACGCCCGGGGCGGCGTTGATTTGCCTGCATTCTGTCTGTCTGGACGCAGCCCTGCGGCAGGGGGGCTCCGAGGGGGTCCGTTGCAGATGGCTGCAGGGACTCGGCGAGAGCAGGTGTCCGTGGGGCACCCTCCCGCGTGCCCCAGGACGTGAGCAGAGGAAAGAAAGCTCTCCAGGGTGCAGGAAACACGTGTCCCCTCTCCCCACGCCCCCTCAGAATGGACCTGGTATTGCAGACGATCGCCCCCATCTGACAGGCTAGTTTAGAGTGTCCTTTGCAGCCCAGGAAAGGTGACGTCGTCTAGCCTGTCCCTGTCTTTAGCTCATGCCATCTAGGAGCCCCAGCCATGTGCTGGTTCTGCCCCAAGCCCAGGTCACCCAAAGTCCCTTCGCGCCCACCCAGCAGCCTTTAGGGAGTGGAGAATTCCATCCAAGACCCTCGAAGGCCGAGGTCCAGGGAAGGCGGGCCTATTCACAGTCACCCCCGCCCTCGCTGTCGCCCCCTTAAAGAAAAGCGCCGACACCAGGGACTAATCGTTCTTGTCGTTCTGTCTGCGCGTACGTGTGTGCACGCTGGGCCCACCCAGTCACCTGCAACTACGGAAACGGGGGCTGCCAGCACAGCTGCGAGGACACGGACACGGGCCCCCTGTGCGGCTGCCACCAGAAGTACGCCCTGCACTCGGACGGCCGGACCTGCATCGGTAAGTGGGCCGCTGCCGCGCCAGCACCCTGCACCACCCTGCCCCCCACGGGCGCGCCGGGTGGCCCCGCAGCCAGCCAGCGCCCCACCCCGTCCCATCCCCAAGAAGGAAGCTTTCGGGAGACAAGAGCAAGTGCACCCCACAGAGCTGGTGGGGCGCTTTCTGTGGGCGAGCCCGGGGCAGTTCCGCCCCCAGACTGAGCGCCCCTGCTTTGTGTCCCCATGGGTCGGGTCTCCCGCACGCCCTCATGCCCGCCGCAGGGGCGGCCTGGGCGCGGAGGGAGGAAGGCATGTGCGCCTGAGGTGGGCTGCTGCTGCTCCCGGGGTCCCCCGCTGACGGACCTGGAGCCGTGCAGCAGGCCAGTCCCGCCCCCCGCGGCCCTGTCAGCGGTGCGGCCGCCCCGGCGGTCTGGAGAAGCAGGAGGGGTTCTCAGAAAACAGCTTCTGTCTCCGTGGTGGGGAACGCCAGGGGCGGGGCCTGGGGGCTCGGACCGGCTTTCCCTGCCCCACCCCGCACACAGGGCTCTGGCCAGACCTCCTCTCCCACCCAGAGTCCCCCCCCTCCAGAAGGTGCCCCTCCCTCCCCTGCCGCAAGGAGTCTGCGTCTGAGCCCCAGGCACTTATCTCCAAGGAGAAGCTTCGATGTCTGTGATCCCTTGTGCCCTCGTCACTCGTGGGCTCTTTCCCCACCCGCAGGCAACTTTTTCCCCTGAGCAGAGGGGGCGGCAGGGCTGGCGTCCGCGTTGGGGTCGCAGACTGGAGACACCCGCCAGTCAGTTGGCTGTGGCTGTTTTTTTGTTTGAAGAAGAGGTCTCATTTCTTATCTGCTAGAAAGCTATTTCTTGAGGGACTTCCAAGTGACAAAAAGGGGCTGACAAGCAAGCAAAGCCGTGACTCCCAGAGCGTGCTGTCGAACCCTGTCCCCTGTGCCTGCTCGCTGGTGGGGGGCGTCAGGCGGGGGGTGGGGAGCGGGGAGCCAGCGGCCCCCCCAGTCCCTGGCTGCCACCCCAGGTGCTGCTGCTGCGTCGTCCCCCTCTGTGTGGCCTCTCCTCTCCAACAGCCGTTTTTGGTTTCGTTTTACCTCGTTCCTCCTGCTTTTCTGGTGATGGTCCCTGATTGCCTGTCTTGTCTGGTAACTGACATCCATTAATTATCTCAGAGCCAAAAGCCAAACCAAACCAAACCAAAATTCAGCGCAAAACCCGGCCTCAGACCAGTGTCTCTATTGCAGCCTGATCCCATCTAGAACCCCCTCTCCCGCCTCCCCCCCCCCCCCGCCGTCTCTGCCGTCCCCCCTCCCCCCGGGGGCTCTCCCGGGCTCCCCCGCCCCTCCCTGTCTTGTCCACTGGGGTCTCCCTCAGTGTTCGCGTCTGCGGTGCAGCCGCCTCTGCGGGCCACCGGACAGCGCAAACAGCTGCCGGCCAGACCCCCACCCGGCCTCGTCTAACACGCCCTGTCTTCGTCCACCCAGCTCATCCTCCCTCACTTTCCATCTCGTAGCGTCTGCTGCATGTGAGGGCCCCTGCTCGCATCTCCATTCTAACGCCCCCGTCCCCACGCCTCGCTCCCGCCCCTCCCCTTAGAAACCCCTGCCCAGGCCCAGCTCCCCGCCGGCCACCGCTCCCCACCGGCCAGGAGGGCCTCCCGTCTGCCTGCTCCCTGCTCCCTAAGTCCCCCCGGGGAGCCAAGGTCTCGGCACGTCTCCCACGGAGCCAGGAACGGGAGCCGGCTCGCCTCGCCTCGGCGCAGCCTCCTGCCCCACAGCCAGCATGCTCCCCGGCCGCCCCGTGGGCTCGCTCTGCACGCCCCTAAAACGACTGACCACCTCCGCAGCGCCCGCCGAGCACCTGGTGCCCCCCTCTCACCCTCTGTAGACAAGCAGGCAACCAGCGCTGCCCCAGCCGACCCCTGGGCCTCTGTCTGTCCGACCGGGTCCACTGTCGTGTGTGTGTGTGTACGTGTCCCTCTGCGTGTCTCGTTCTTAATTTTGCATGCGTGTGTGACGCACTTTCCTGCCCTGGAGACAGGGCGCCTGCTGTCCAGGCACATCCATCACCGGACCTCGCGGCCCTGTCCCCTCCTCCCATGCCCTGTCCTGTGCCTGCCTCTCCGGCCTGAGCCGGGGTCTCTGGGGCCGCTCGTGTCTCTGTGGGCTCCGTGGGGGCGCTGTCTGCTGCCACGGCCCCCCCCCCAGACGCGCCCTGTCTGCTCTGGCTCAGCTGCCTCCTCTGTGTGCGGATGGCCCCCGTCCCAGCTGCGTCCTTCTGTGGTCGTCCCCTTTGCCCACCCCCACCCACCCCACCCCTGCTGCCTCTTCGCTCTGCCCTGAGCACGCCGCCTCGGAGGTGCCTGGGGTTAGCCCCTCGGCGAGGACGCTGCGCCGGCCGCAGGCTGTGTTGGCTGTGTGTGCGCCACGCCGGAAGGCTGACTGGCGTGGGCCGCGGGGAGTGGGCTCTCATTAACCAGCGGCTCCGTGTTTGTCCCTTACTTGTGTTCTAGAGAAGGATGAGGCTGCAATTGAGCGCTCTCAGTTCAGTGCCACGTCAGTAGCTGATGTGGACAAGCGGGTGAAACGGCGGCTCCTCATGGGTAACACTTTTCTTCCACTTCCTTTGTTGTCCTCGCACCTGTGTCCGCGCGCGTGTGTGGGTGTGGTGTGCGGGGGTCCGCGTGTGTGCTGGCCAGTCGGCCTGTGAGCGTGGGGGGGGCTGTGTGAGGCGGCTGTCCATCTGTGTGGCGTGCTCTCGCGTGTGGGGTCACGCGTGCCCTGTGTGAGTGTGGGGGGCTCCACTCCAGATGTGAACTTACTTTTTCCTTTTTAAAGTTGTTTGCCCTTCATCAAACACGTGTATTTCTTTGTGTGTTTGTAGCGGAGAACCCAGAGCCCGTGTCTAGGTGCCCCTGCGTGTAAGGAGGCGTGTACTCTAACCCCGCTCCGTGCAGTGCACGCCGCAGGGACAGTTAGCACCCAGGAGCGGCGCAGCAGCCGCAGGAAGCAGGCATTCGGGCTGCCCGGTCCTGATCCACCCCCGCCCTCAGGAGAGATGCCCCGCTAGGGGAAAGCCACACCTACACTCAGGGCTGGGGGACCCCCCTAGGGGCACGGAGTTCACCCTGCTCACTCTGTAGTTGGGAACCATGCTGCCCAGCGAGGGGAGGACCGGGTAAAAGCAGGACTCACTCTGGCAGGGCAGGCCGGGTAAAAGCAGGACTCACTCAGCCCCTCCCGGACCCAAGGCTCCCCAGTTCTGTGAATGACCCCACCCTGAGCCTGCCGGGCTAGTGGCCGTGGCCCACATTTCCCTGGTAACCCCTTGGGCACCCGCTTGCCATGGGGGAGCCACAGGAGGTCAGCCCCACTCTGAGCACTCCCCCCCAGCTGCGTGCAGACTGCAGAGCGGCACCGAGACCTGCCCTGCCGGCGCGGCTGAGCCGGGGGTGGGAGGGGGAAGGGAGGAGGAGGAGGCAAGGACTGCTCTCCCGCCGAGCTCGGCCTGCGCGGCGGCGGAAGAGCAGGCGTGCCTCCTCCTGCATGTGCGCCTCTGTCTCAGCCGGGTTTCCGGGTCCTGGGGCTGTGGGCCCTCTGGTGCACGGCTGTGGGGCCACCTGGGATGATCACGGCCTTCTTTGTGGCACTCAGATAGGCCACACCGGCCTTGGGAGCTGTGAGGCCGGCGGGTGCATGTCCCAGCCTCAGACGAGGAAACCGAGGCTCACTGGGGTGCCCTGGCTTGCCCGAGATCACACACCACCCTGAGCCTGGCCCAGAGCTCAAGGCCATGTGGGCTTTCTTCTCAGAGGTCACAGGACCGGGGAGGTCAGGTCCTGAAGGTCCTGGAGAGGTCACCTAGTTTTGTCCGTCATCTTCACGCGGACCTCCAAGGAGCCCCGGCATCTGGGGAGGAGGGAGGCCTACGTGGGGCCGCAGGAGGGGTGCGGCCTCGTGTGCGGGGGAGCAGGCTGGAGGCTCATCCTCTGCAGCGGGGCTCTGAAGGGCGAGGGAGACCTCGGACCGGCCGGCCGTGCTCTGTGCACCCCGGAGTCCGCGCGGGCAGGACGCACGCGGCCCTGCCTCTCCGGCGAGAACCCAGGGCCGGCCGGGCCCCACGGCAGTGGGCTCGGCTCAGGCCGCAGGCCCGCTCTCTGCGCTTCCCTGGACGGGCTGCCTTGCGGGCTTGGGCTGCCTGGGCCGGCCTGGGGGGCTGGAAATGCCCAGGTGGTGGGTGTGGCGGCCCCACCACGCAGGCACGCCCACCACCCTCCAGAAAGGTGTGAGGTGGCGCTATGGCCTTTGGGAAGGTGGCCAGGAGGGAATGGCGGGAACCTAAGAGGTGCGGGTGCTCTGGGGCCCGAGGGGTCCCAGGCCCCTCGGCCTCACTTCCTAGGAGAGGTGGGCGCTGCTGCGGAGGCCTGGGCTTGAGAGCAGGTGGGACCAGCGAGAGCACGGAGGCGGGAGAGGGCTGAGCTGAGTGGGCGTCAAGTGGGGTGGTGCGGTGGGTGGGTAGGTTTATCTAATTAGACTCGGCGGGTAACGGCCCAGAGCCCGGTCCTGCAGCGGGGCCGGGCATGAGGAAGGAGGCACCCAGAATGCAACCTCCCTCTTCCACTTCCAGGGTTTGGGAAGCAGATCGGGACCCCTGCCCAGCCTCGGGAAGGGCCAAGGAGATGGACGAGGGCACCCCTCATCCTGCACCCCTGCACCCCTGCCTCCCTGATATATATTGGGGGGAATTAACTAGAATTACCTCTGGAGGGTGGGCCCCTTGCAGGACAGGCTTCCCCTGCTACATGAGTGTTCTAGGAGCCCATCTGTATCAGTGCACCAGCTGGTGTTGTTGTGAGAGGCTGCATTTGGCTTCAGTGGAAAAAAATTTTTTAAGACTTTCAGCGTGTTTGCCTGTTTCACGATGGGCGATTTGCAAGCGCACCTGCCCCCACCGCACTGAGAGTTCCGCAGTTTTTGACCAGAAACAGCGTGACCCCTGTCCCCACCCTCCCTGTTCACTAGATCTCACCCTGAGGGACTTTTTTTTTGTTTCCCCCGATGAAAACATCCTCCAAGGGAAACATTTCGCCAAAGCATTGAAAGGCATCAGAATTGACAGGTTCAAAGACTGTTCTGAGCAGTGGATAAAGCGTCTCGATAGGGGTATTGCATCAAATGGAGAGAACTTTGAAGGTGACTGAAGTTTAAACATGTAAGATTAGATACACAATTTTTAAAAAATAAATTTTGGGTTTTGAGGGTGCCCCAAGGAAATCCCCTACCCCAGCCTCCTCGGGCCTGTCCTGTCCTCAGGCAGGAGAGACCACCCCTTCCTCCGGGCTTCCTGCAACACCTGACCCTGGGGCATGCGGGCCGGGTGGTGCCGACTCGAGACCCTGTTGACCCGCAATGCAAGCCCCAGTGAGATGCGGCTGCTCCTGGGCTGTATTAGTAGAGGCAGGGGCTGGGGAGTAAGGGAGGTGACCATCCCCATTCTGCCCAGTGCCGCCTGCACACAGCCAGGACACACACCGAGAGCCCTGCCCCTGCACGGGGAGAGCTGCCCGGGACACTCGGGAATCATCTGGGGCAGCGCCGCTGGCCCGTGGGACAGGACGCAGGCAGTGCAGCCTGGTGGACCCTCCTCTTGGGCCCTGGTTCGGGTCCTGGGAGGGGCAGGGAAAGGGCAGGCGGAGGGGGAGGAGCCTGTTCTGTGGCCCAGGAGCAGATGGGGAAGGCCAGACATGGAGGAATTCCACGGCAAGGTCAGGCCCTGGGCCCCTGGCTCCCGAGTCTCTGCCCTTGACCACCACACTGCCCAGCTCCTCCCGACAGGGCAGAGGTGAGCAACCGCTGGGAGAGAAGACTGGGCTGGATGCCCCGGGTGGGCAGCGGTGTCCAGCCTGCAGCCCACGGGCCACGTGCAGCCCAGGAGGGCTATGAATGTGGCCCGGCACAAAACTGTAAATTTACTTAAAGCATTATGAGATTTTTGTGTGTGATTACGTGGCACAATGCACGTAATGTGTGGCCCAAGGCAACCCCTCTAGCGTGGCCCGGAGACGCCCAGAGGCTGGACACCGCGGCGCCCGCTGCAGTCAGGGCCCGGGTTCTGCCAGAGCGGGGCTGTGTGCCGGAGTTGCCCGGCGGCGGCGATGGCCTAGGGGTCGTCTTCCAGCCCCGGGATGCCGGTTATCTGCTATGTGGACGGTGTTTGTATTTGAGGTGCTAGGGGAGGGTCAAAAGAGGGGGCTCCCTTTCCCCTCGAGGAGCGAGCGGGCACAGGGCAGCCCTTGCCCCCCGAGGCCCACACCCATCCTCGCGGCTCCCCCACTCTCCGTGGGACTGCAGAGCGGCGGCGGCAGACTGCGCGGGCGGGCCCAGGCAAAGCCCGGTCCGCGTCTGAGAGGGTGGGCGGCCTCCCGCTCTGACTTACCTCCCCCCGGGGGAGCTGGGGAAGGGAGGGGTTCCGTGCTCTCGCAGGCTGTTTGACTCGGAGCAGCTCCCGGGAGTGCCCTGTCCTCGGGCTGCAGAGGCCACAGGTGCCTACGGTGTCTGTCGCTCGTCCCACGGGCCACCTGGCCTCTCCACCCGGCCGGGAGCCAGGACCTGAGCAGACGGCGGGGCACAGGGGGTGCAAGAGCTGAAACCCTGGGCCTCTCGGTGCCCCTCCTGGAGCCTGCCCGCTCACCCAAGGGCTGCTGGGGTAGCCGTCAGTCCAGAGAGTGGGGCCCCCGGGCCAAGGCCCTGCCCCTCCCCTGGGGTCTCGGCTGCACCTAGCAGCTGCAGTTTGTAATCACCCCCCCACATACACACCGAGCACAGGCCAAGAAGAGCGGGGCGGTCGTGTCGTGTTTACTCAGGCCTCAAACCCTGTAACGGGTTCTAGTGTCCCACGAAAACCAGTCCGGGTGGTTTGGGGGGAGGGGCGGAGTGCCACGTCTCGGTCAGCCTGCCGCCCGCCTGCTCGAGTGAGACCCCCGCGCGTGCAGCTGCATGGCCACGGGCCCCCGGGCCCCACTCGCAGCAGGGCCGCGGAGACCTGGGAGCGCCATCAGCTCCGGGTCTTTAACGAGCCGCTTCCCCTCAGCAGCCTCGGGCGGGCGCCGTGCCTGCTTCCTCCGCCGCTGTGACCGAGCACCGCGGCCTCGGTGCCTTAGAGCAACCCCAGAGCGTTCTCTCCTGGGGGCCGGAAACGCGACTTGGGGCTCATGGGGCTGAAGTCTCGGTGTCCGCAGGGCCACCTTCCTTCTGGAAGCTCTGAGAGTGAACCCATTTCCCGGCCTTTTCAGCCCAGAGGCACCCCCGCCCCCGCCCCGTTCCTGGGCTCCCAGCACCACTGGGCGAAGTGAGGCCCTGACGGGGAGGAGACGCCCCGGCCCGGCGAACCTGGGCAGCAGTGTGGCCCAGGCCCGAAGCCGTGGACCCCCCAGCCCAGGGCCCTAGGTCAGGAGCGGGGGCCGGCCTGAGGCTCGGCAGCCATTCCAGGGCCCCCAGCAGAGGCCCAGTGACCGCGGGGACTGCTGACCTTGAGCCCTGCCTGCTTCCCCCGGGCCGTGCGCTGTCCGCAGCCTTCACTCACCACAGCCACCCGAGGGCTGGG